AGCTGTCAAGGGAAAGTAGGCAGAAAGAAAGTGTCTGTTGTATTCACAGTAGGGAAGAAATTCCCTCACTGTCTTTAGGAGGCTGGGGCCCATGAGGCCCCACACCAAGCCTGGGGTGTCGGGAAGGAGCTGGGGAGCACCTGAGAATGGTGCCAGGTCAAGGGCTTAACTTGTCCTTGACCCCTTCGCCAGGGTACACACTGGGCAGGAGGACAAGGGGAAAGATGGCTTTAAAATCTTTTGCCTGGTGCTTCATCCTCCCAGGCACCCAGAGGGAGGCCTTGATGGAGAGTAGCTGTGAGTGCTATCCTGGTGTGGGTCTGAGACACCAGAGCAAGCTTGTTCCTTTAGATCTGTCCCAGAGAACAGGCTCCCCTCCATGCGTGTGCAAACCGGAAGCTGTGGGGTAGGTGTCACCAGAGGCAATGGAAGTTTGAGTCAAAGCTGGCCTGACAAGGCAGATCCATGAAGACCACCTCACTCCGACCCCTTATTTGACAGGTAGGAGGCCAAATTCCAGGAAGGCTGAGTCACCAGCTCAGGGCAGCACATTCTCTCTCTGGGTCAGAGACCCAGAAGGGACTCTCCACCATCAGATGCCACAGCCGGAGGGTCCTTGGAAGGGAGGAAGCTCAGAAGATAAGCCCAGCCCTGTGAAATCCCCTGCCCTCCTAGAGACCACGAGTTGTTTTGGGAGAGGCACGTTAGCGGGAGATAGGTGCCTTCCGGAGCCGGTACTCCTTTCTTCACTCTGAGTCCCCAGCTTGGTCCACCCCAGTACCAAATCCAGATGAAAACCCTCCAGCAGATTCCCCTGGACAGCTCTGCTCTGGGGCCTCCAAGGGGCTGGAAATCTGTAGAGGGTGACTGCCTGCTCCTCCTCTCCCTTTTCTGGCCTTGGAATGTGTAAGAAAGACCAGCCTCACCCTCAGGAGTAGCAAGCTACTCCTCACCCAGCACTAGGAAGCTCTCTAGAGAGGGAGACATTTAAGGCCCAGTTTAAAGAGCCATTAACAACACTGGGCTCCAAACAACTTAGCAGGAAGCCGAGTCCCAAGGGTGAGGCAAACCCAAAGAGTACATTCTGGTGTGTGTGAGTAGGGAGGTAAGGAGGGATCCAGACCCAGGGTGGGTTCTCTTTTGAGTAGCCAGGAGGGGCCTAAGTGCACCGCCAGGAAAAGGCAGAGGAGAGAGAGAAAAAACAGTGGAGAGACTCAGGAAAACCATATCCTGACAGCTACTGTACCAGCTTTTAGCATTTATAGCATTTCCAGTTTTGTCCTATTGTGGGTGAGCCCAGCACCTCCAAAAATAAAATGCAGGAAAGAGCCTAAGAAATGTTCCCGAGGAAAGGCAGGGCTGCCCCCTTGTTGGCTGCAACCCTTCCAGGAAAAGCAGGACTCCACAGAAGGTCTAACAAGATGAAAGAGCCCGCACTCCACTGAACCCTCCAGACCCCAAAAGCACAGAGAAGGAAGAGATGAGTGCAGGGCTCCGCCCTGGGCACGGCAGCCAGGAGCAACCTTCTTGGGAGGTCTCAGGAGGCTCACAAGCTCTGCCCAGGCAGGCGGGAGGCTGAATCCCCAGGGAGGCAAGCACAGGTTTCCCGCACACAGAAATGCCCTGACTTATTCAACAACAGGCCCTTGGAGCTTCCTGAGCAATTACTGCCTCACCATGCAGCTTCCTGCCTGGC